AGGACCTGGGGCTGAGCCCGGCGGAGCTGCCGGCACGCAAGCTGCGGATAGTCTCTGGTGATGAAAAGCAATACTTCGGTCTCGCGGAAGAGAATGGAAATCTGCGCGTAAAGGAGAGGATAGACCGAGAGGATATCTGCGGGGCTGTGTCGCCCTGTGTCCTCAATTTGGAGGCTGTCGTGGAAAACCCTTTCAATATTTTTCATGTCAGCGTTACTATCCAGGATATCAACGACAATGCGCCGCATTTTGACAGAGAATTTGTTGACATAGAAATGATCGAGTCCATGGTTCCTGGGGCCAGGTTCCCCCTGGGCAGTGGCAGAGATCCCGACATCGGGGCGAACTCTTTACAAAACTACCAACTTACCCCCAATCCGCTCTTCTCCCTTGTAGTGAGGGAGAGTCCTGATGGGACGAAACATGCAGAACTGGTATTGGAGAAAAGCTTAGATCGAGAAAAACAGAGAAATCACCATTTGACATTGACGGCGGTGGATAGTGGGAATCCAGTCCGATCCGGGACCGTCCAGATTACTATTTCTGTGACCGATGCAAATGACAACCCGCCGGTATTCACCAAAGAGATCTACAAGGTTCAGCTTCTGGAAAACCTGCCAGAGGGCTCCTTAGCTTTTCAGGTGAAAGCTACCGACAGCGACGAAGGTACAAATGCAGAAATTACCTATGCTTTCAGTGACATTGCAAACAGTGCTCGGCAGCTCTTCACTCTAGACTCGAGGACAGGACACGTGAAGGTATCAGGCCCTTTAGATTATGAACAAGGAAAATATTATGAAGCAAGTGTTGAAGGCAAGGACGGGGGCGGACTGAGTGCTCATGCGAAAGTCCACATAGACATTCTAGACGTGAACGACAATGCACCAACACTTTCCCTCCTGCCTATCTTGAACCCGATACCCGAAGACTCGGTCCCGAGCACAGTTGTAGCTGTGGTCAATGTTCGCGACAAAGACTCGGGAGATAATGGCAAGGTGAACTGCAATATTGACGGCGATATGCCTTTCATACTAGAATCGTCATCAGGGAACACCTATAAACTAATAATAGCCAGTGCCTTAGACAGAGAAAAGGACTCTGCTTACAAAATCACCATCACAGCCAGGGACAGGGGCAGCCCGGCGCTCTCGAGCAGCACGACGCTAGTGCTGGAGGTGTCGGACGTGAACGACAACACGCCAGTGTTCGAAGAAGCCGCCTACAGTGCCTACGTGGCAGAGAATAACGCGGCGGGCACGCCGGTGCTGCGCGTTAGCGCCCGGGACGCAGACGCAGGCGCCAACGGGCGCGTGAG